TTTTGTTTTTGCTAATAGTTTTATTCTTTTCAGATTTTAATTTTAAAATCAGGCTTGAAATCTTGAAGCTGAGGCTGGTATAATGATAAGTATCTTTTTTGAAGATTTTTTTATTTGTCTTTTGTTTTTATTAATGATTCTCTTCTTTTCAGGTTTTTACTTCACTAGGAAAGGTTTTGAAATCTTAAAATCAGATTTGAGATCCTAAAACCAAGACTGATACAAAGATAAGTAGCAGCTTTTTTTTTCATTTCTTATTAATATTTTTATTTTTTTTCAGAATTTTACTTTGCCAGAAAGGTATATTGGCTAAGAATTATATATTAAAACTAGGCTTGAAATCTTAGAATCAGAGTTTTGATTCTAGAATTGGAAATTAGTATAATAATAAATATTAGTCTTTTTTTTTGTTGTTTTTGTTTTTTTTTCGCTTTTTACTAAAGTTTTTCTTCTTTTTAAGCTTTCATTTTGCTGAGAAGATGTAGTGAAACTAAACTTGAGATCTTGAAATTAGTTTAAGATTTTGAAGCTAAAAACTGCTACAAAGATAAGTATTAATTTTTTTGTTTCTTCCTTTTTTCTTTCTTTTTTTTTCTTTTTTACTAACATTTTTTTTTTAAGGATTGTTTTTGCAGAAAATTGTATATTAAAACCAAGCTTGAGATCTTGGAATCAGATTTAGGTTTGAGATCCTAGAATTAAAAATTAGTATAATAATAAGTACTAATCTTTTTTTTTGTTATTTTTGTTTTTTTTGCTTTTTACTAAAGTTTTTTTTTTTTTTAGGCTTTCATTTTGCCAGAAAGTTGTAGTAAAACCAAACTTAAGATTTTGGAATTAGCTTGAGATTTTAAAACCAAAAACTAGTAATATAAAAAAAATATCAATTTTTTTGTTTTTTCTTTTTTTTTCTTTTTTTTACTAATATTTTCTTTTTTTAAGGGTTGTTTTGCTGAAAATTGTATTTTAAAACTAGGCTTGAGATCTTGGAATCAGGTTTGAGATCCTAGAATCAGAAATTAGTACAAAGTCTTGTCTTTTTTGTTTTTAGAAAGTTTTTTCATTTTTATTAATATTTTCTTTTTTTCAGACTTTTGCTTTATCAGAAAGGTGTAGTAGAACTGAGCTTGAGATCTTAAAAATAGCTTAGGATTTTGATGCATAAAATTGGTATAAAGATAAGTACCAACTTTTTTTTCATTTTTTCATTTTTTCTTTATTTTATTAATATTTTTTTTAGGAGTTTTCTTGCTAGGAATAGTATATTAAAACTAGATCTGAAATTTGAATATTAAATATAATACAGTCGGACCTCCCTAAATGCAACCTCCATAAATGCAATACCTCCCTAAATACACGTTTTTGTCTTGGCTGTATGAAATCATTAGTGCTAAATGCACGTTCTATATTCTGCAAATGCATGTTCACTCAAAAGATTTTTTATATCATACTAACCTCTCTAAGTGCACGTAGCCAATCAGAAGTCAGTATTTAAGTTTGTTACACAAACTTGCAGATCAAATATCAAAAGCTGCAATTTAATTAGCTCCCTTTAAATGCAAACCTCTCTAAATGCACGTTTTAGGCTGGTCTGTACACATTGCATTCATGGAGGTTTGACTGTACTAGTTTTAGTTTTTAATATAGTTATCAAGCTCAACATATTAAAGTTTATACTATAATCTAATGCCTTCACTATAGAAAATATTTAGTTATTAAAAGATGAATTTATATATTCTAATATATTTATGATGCAAAAAATTTTCATTATTTCAAAATATTCGCTATGCAAAAATTTGTTTTTTCGAGATAACTGTAATTTAATAATAAATATATAATATGTTATAATATTTAGTAATTAATATATAATATATAGTAATAAATATATAATATGTAGTAATAAAGTAAATCATATTTTTAAATAAAATAATATATTATTTAAAATATCAAAATATAGAAATTTTTGTATATTTCAAAATAATCCAAAATATTTTAAAATATTTTGAAGTAATTTGAAAAGTTTGAATTTTTATTAAAGTCTTAAAATAGTTAATATTTTAAAATATTTCAAAATATTTCAAAATATTTTAAAATATTTTTCAAAATTTTTTGAAATTATTTTTTTAAAATATTTTACATTGATTGCAATAATTTCAAAATATTTAGCACTACAAATTCTTTTACAAATTTTCATATATATTTTTTGTTAATATAGATATTAGAGTTATTTTTATATTAATTATTAAATAAAAGAATAAATAAAACTCTGGTTATAATTATTTTATTTAAATATTATATAAAAAATAGTGTTAAAGATAAAGTAAATTAGATTATTTTTAATAGTAATTACATTGCAAATCATATGATATTATATGATTTATATGTAAACAATAAAAATTTAATTAATAAGAATTAGTAATTTTTGTATTATTTAAGCAAATTTTAAATCTTATATATTACAGATAGGCAAACCATTAAGGCTAAAATATAGTATAAGTAGGCAAACACTACTAATTTGTTATTTAAAGACTGAGTAAAAATTATTTAAGTTTAAGCTGAAGACAATAAGATTTAATATTAAGTGTTCATAGTTTTTTTCGATAGTTAAGGTTAGCCTCTTTAGCTTATTACTTTTATTAGATTGTAGAATCATATGATGCTCTTTTCAAGAAAGCTCCAAACAAGTATATTTTGATAAAAGTATATTCTAGTCATATCTGCATCTTTTGAATGCCTAATTTACAGTAAATAGTCTGTCTATTACTAGATTCTACACTAGATGACATATCTATAACCTACCTATTATTTAGATTATCTAATTAAACCTTCTGATCTAAGTTTCCTATACTAATCCATTTAATTTCATTCAGAACATATTATATATTAGTTAGTTCAAGTTCCAAAATTATTGCAAACTATATATAGAACTATTGGCATGGTTAACTAATTCATTCTCAAGATCATCACCTGCTAAAGCAGTCTAATATCCACTATTACTGTATTATCTAGTCTTTTTCAGATAAGTTTTATCAGATAGGTTCTATATCTTTATAGACAGGCCATACTACTAATTCTTTTTGCAGATAAGTTTACTAAATAGATTTTAAGCCTTTATGAACAGGCCATACTGTTGAACTCTTTAGCTCTTGTAAAATTCACTCAAACTCGATACTTTTTTTTCAAGATAACCTTGTATCTTTCCTTTTAGTACCTCTAGCCGATCTCCTCAGACTATTAATTCAAATAGCTTAGAAGAGACACTAATCTTATAGTATTTACTAATCCTTTTTTTCTAATCAATACTCAAGCTAATAGTTTGATTGGTAGAGCAACTTGCTAAATACTCTTGCTACATCTAGTTAATTAGCCTTAGATGAAGCCTATTTTAATAGCTACTGTTGAAGGTCTGTACTACCTCTCTACTCAGATCTTGCTAAGTGAGCATCTGTCTTTCTGATTTTTTAGATTAATATGATTATGAGGACTTATCTTAGGTTTGCACTATCCAATGCTAGTTTATATGCTTTTGTATAACTTATATATTATATAAATAATCTATAATCTTCTAATCTTGTTAGTGTCACCAAAGTTACAGAGATTTTGTTTTAACTAATTATCAAAGAACAGTAGCTATTATACAAGCAAAATATTCAAAATTTCATCATTAATGAGTTTCAAATTCTTCACCTGCCAATATGCTGCTTAGAAGTACAATAACTTAATCATTTTACTAAGTCACTATACTCTTTTAAACTTTTATTATATTTATATTAGTTAGTAGATAGTATATTAGATATTAAAACCTAATCAAGCTAGATAATAAATATAAACTTTGATTTAAACTTAAATAATTTTTGCTTAAACTTTTGCTTAAACTTCTGCTTAAACTTCCACTTAGACTTAAGTGATATTCATTTAAGCTTTAGCTTAAACTCAAGTAATTTTACTTAAGCTTTAACTTAAGTAATTTTATTTATACTTAGCTTAAGCTTAAGTGATTTTCATTTAGACTTTAAATTATCAATAGATATTCTATAGAATAGATAAACAATATAAAAAATAAGTTTTGTTAATAATTAATAATTATTAATTTTTTAATAGTAGAGTTGTGGAGTTTGTAAAGTTTGCCTACCTATTCTATAAAATATTTTTATCAATTAACAAAATTTGCTCACCTATACTGCAGAAGAACCTCTAAAAAATTTTTTTAATATTTGCCTATCTACAATCTTCTTTAGTATAGATGGGCAGATATAAATTATTACAAGATTATAATATATAAAACCTAACTAATTTGAGCTAATTTAAACTCTAACCTTAACCTTAACTCTAATAATTTATAAAATTACTTAAATTAGTTCAAAATAATTAAGTTATATATATTATAATTATATAATAATTATATATGCCCACTTATACTAAAAATTAACTGCCTATCTATATTGTAGTTCAACCTAAATTTCAATTGTTCTAAGTGAATTTAATAATATATAGAAGTAGATTTTTTTTAAATAAAATAAGAACTAAAAATTTTATTATTATAAAAAAAAGATATTAATTTATATATTATAAAGTTTTGATAAAGTTTAGTTGTAGCTTTAAAAGTTTTACTAATAGTATATATTCAAGTTTCATATAAAATTTTTTAATATATGAGATCATATAACAAATGATCTATATTCACCCTACTCTTAAACTAGCATAATTATTTATAAGCCAAAGAAATTTTAACTGAATAGCTCTTTAAAGCTTAATAAATTAGAATTCCAATCCAAATAAATTTGTTATCCATTTATCCATATCTGATTATCTGAATAATCTAAATTATTTAGATATTCAGATAATTCAATAGATAATCAGATAATTATCTGAATATTAATAGTAAAATAGATATTCAAATAAATTCAGATTTGAATATCTGATGAATAAATAGATAAACAAATAATAGATAAAAATATTAAAATAAATAGCTTTTATATTAGTAAATATTATATCTGTAATTATTTTCTTTTTTGAGTTTTGATATATAAATTTTCTAAAGATTATTAATTAATATATTTATATTTATACTATTACAGTATTATAGCCTTCTTAACAGTAGTACTATAACAATAACACAGCTACAGGAATCCTTCACAGATTTATAGTAGTATTCAATAAATAAGTATAATTTTGCTTCTTGGAGAAACTATACCCTTCTGTTTGTAACAGTTTGGGCAGACAATAATTTATAGATAAAATATATGTTTATTAAAAATAAATAAGATAGGCTATCCTTAGATTTCTATTCCTAAAAAATCCTATAATATTATAAGAGAGAATTTAGGGAAGTCTGGGTTTGAAATAGACAATAACAAGTCTATTATTATTTTAGATCTAATGTTAACTTGGAGAAATTTACAGCCTTTTTATATCTTTAGAGCTAATCGCTAATTGTTAAGTATTAAACGTTAATTGCTAATTGCTAATTGCTAAGTGTAATCGCTAATCGTTAATTGCTAAGCATTAAGCATTAAGGCTAATCATAATATATGTCTTTTAAATTCTTTTCTAAGATAAATATAATAATAAGTAATAACTACAGTCAGAGAATATACCAAATAAGAAAATCAAGTTCTAGAATGATCTATATATCAAATCTTGAATTTGATTAGCTCTTGTGTACTTCTTTGCCAGCTTTTTTCAGAAATTTTTTATACATCTAATTTATTACTAGAGATATACGAATAAATATATAAACAGATAGAAGAAAATATAATGTTTAAATAATCCACAATAATCCACGTTAGTTAATTCTCATCAAAAAAGTAGATGAAATATGAAAAATCTTAAAATTTCGCTGTGGTCAGTTAACTTTTATATTTTTCTTTCTCTTGTTTTTTAGATTAATACTGAATATTTTTGCAATATTATAACGATAAGTTTTTTGTATTTACATCCACAGATGCTGCATTCATAGTCTAAAAAGGTTTGGAAATCTTCATTTGTATTAAAATTTGTTTTAGAAATGTTAAGCTATAAGCAAAATTTAAATACTGTAGTGTTTTATTATTATTTATTTTGCTAATAATTTAAAGTTTTTTTTATTTTTTTTAGATACCAGCATTACAATAATAAATTTTAGATACATTTGTTAAGATGTAGATATATTTGTTAAGATATAGCTAAATAAGATTTTAATTAATTTAATAAATTAATAGTAAAAGTAAAGTCAAGTAGAATAAATTATATTATTAGTGATAACTCATGTTTTACTTATCTGATTTGAATGATTTTTATATCATTCGATTCGTTTCATTGAAACGAATCAAATGGTACCAAAATTACTTAATTCTGATTGATGGTTGAAAAGATATGTTCATTTTTAGTTAACAAATTTTTGTTTATCTGTTATTATGTTCTAATTTTCTAATTAATTTAAAAGTTGTGATTTGATTAGATGATCGCATATAATTTTCATGCAACTAAACTTTCTAGAATCATATGATCGACATGTCTATACCATATAAGGTGCAATCGATATTGTCTATTTTTGGTATATTCCCTGACTGAACTAATAAAATACAAATATTGAAATAATAAAATAATACTAAGATAAAATAATAAACTAATAAAATAAAACTGTTTTATAACAATACAATAATTTTTTGATTTATTTATAGTAAAACCTTTATAAATGCATATGCTTAAGACCAAATATTAAATTATAAAAAAAAGTGCATTTATAAAAGTTATCTATAATAAAACCAGTTTTATCAATACAGTATTATATATTAATTTTACTAATATTATCAGTTTCACTAATATTACTAGTTTTACTAATATCACCATTTTCACCAATATCATTAGTTTTACCAATATTATCAGTTTCACCAATGTTATCAGTTTTACCAATATTACCAGTTTTACCAATATCACCATTTTATTTTTTAAAATATACTATAGTGCACTAGTTTTACCAATTTTCCTGATTAATTACTGTAACTAGTTTCACCTGCAACTCTAGTATAAAGCCCAAATTTTGTTACATATGATTTTTTGAAGTTCTAGACATTTTTACTTAATTATTTAACACTTGTTTTTTAGTCAATTTATTGAGATATAGCACTCTGAATACCAACATCTCCTGGTATAAATTAGATTTAATCATATTTACAATATATATATTTTTTTATCTAAGTAAATCTACAGTAGTTATATAACTTTTAAATCTTACATATTAATATAACTTTAAAATTGATATTTTTAATTGTCACTATAAAAACAATAAAATTATATATGTATAAATTAACATAATTTTAAAATAACGCTATATACAGTATATAGTTATATGCACAATTTATAAATTGCAACTCTAAAATTACTTAGATTGAAAAAAAATTCAAGTTTTCCAAAAAATTTTACATACAGTAGTGTGTATAGTGCTGTAATACCCAATTCATAGATTTTATACGTATTTTTTTGGGTTGGGGCTATCAGATTTAGGCAATACAAGCTAACCATTTCTGGGTCAAAATTATTAGTTAGGCAGCTTTACTTAACGAGTATGCTATGACTTTATTAGTAAAACCTTTAGTAATCGGGGACAAAATTAGTTAATTCCGACACTACCAATCATGATTCCCAAGGTATTCCCAACCCGGAAATCTGTGGATCTCCTGTAAAAATTTTATACCGGTATGTGACAAATCGTGGGACTGGAACATAAGTAGTCCGATCCCTTTTGGAAAATAATGGGTTAATTCATATACTAGCTGAGGGACATTTGTTTCTTACTGGACATCCTAAACATTTGGGATTTCTTGGCAAACATGTGACTTGACCAAATCCAACAAGCATTGGATTTATTTCTTGCCAAAACGAGTATGGAAGCCAGGATTCCAAAGCCTTTAAAAAATTATTCCAAGTCCTTTAAAAATTAAATTTTAAAATAAAATCAAGAGGGAAGTATAAAAACACTACCTGACGAGTGGCTTCTGGTCCTGCCTTTTCGGTTCGGCACCAACCTAGTCGATTTGTGATGCGATGTACATGAACGTCTACACCAATGCCTTGGTTTCTTTTCAAAAAAAAAAAAAAAGTCAGAATAGACCGTCAATTATGAACGCAATTTTGTCAAAAGAGAAATTTACTGTTTCCACGCCACGTGCATGCAAAGATAAGCCTACGAATATAGCGAGAAATAGAAGTCAAGATGTATACAAGTAATAAAGTATCTTGAGCCGTTCACATGTGATCAAGTATTTTGATTAACACCTCGTGATTTTGATATAGTGATCTGGGTGTTATACCGATAATCTACCAAATAATGACATCTCTATAATAGGCACCAACCATTTTTGGACCAACACCCGGTAATTTCATTAATTCTTCAACGCTATTGGGAATATCTCCACCGTATTCTTCCTTGCAGATTTTTGCAGCTTGCTTAATATATCTGTGAAATAACTACAATGTTTATTACAAATTATTTATTAAGTGCCACTAAATGAGATTCCCTTACTTTGCTTTTCTACGGTGAAATCCTACTTTCGAAATACATTGATCTAAGAATTCTTCATCCACTTGCATGATACTTTCTATATTTAAACCTCCTGTAAGTTGTTGACGAAGATTTTGCATAGCTGCAGCGGTAACTTGATCTTTAGTTTGTGATGAGAGCATCAATGCTATGAGAGACTGAAATCTGGATGTCTAATAAAATGTATCATAAGTTATTGTGTATGCTTTTGTTCAAAAAATTACCAAGAAATATTTGAGTAAACCTGAGGCGTAATAACGTCATTTGGTTTTTCAGCCAATCTTTCACATCCCATTGTATCAACAGGAGCAACTGTAGTTTTTCTGTAGTCTTTAATGCATTGGTAAACCTCTTCCCAACTATGAGGTGACTGCATTTGTTCATGATTTATTTTCTTGTTAAGAGTAGAATATTTTTGTTTGGTCATGATTACGACACTAATCAATGACAACTATATAGTTCTTTAATTGTTTTATTTTAAGATGCTGATTATCGTTATTTAAATATATATACCACGTGAACGTCCTATTTGGCCGTTATCCAATCTTCAACCCATTTCACTAAATTAAACCTTGCTTCAGATTCTGCTCGGTTGCCTCAAATTTATAAACGTATTTTTAAATCCATTCCAATTTGGTTTGGGTTCAACTCGAAGTATGCCATACTATAAATAGGTAAAAAGTTTAACAAAACTGTTAAAATAAAGTATATAGCTCTGAAGATGATACGGTGCAAATCACCCAAAAACATCCAAAGCTAAGACTTCTCAATGAATATTTAAAAATTTGCAAAAAAAAAAAACCGTAATTCTACAAAGCTACGATTTTTTTTTTGCAAATTTGAAATTATTCATCGAGGCGATACGATTTAAAAAAACACAATATGATTTTAACGTGCTTTATATGATAAAGCGATCATGTTACCACTATATACTACACAAGGACAGATTCTCCTTGAAACTTTTTCCAAAACCTACTTCTGATTTTCTTGTCAATCTTAAGGAGAACCTTTTAATCGTTCAACGTTTTACAACCTTATCACCTAAAAGTTGGTTTTTTTCCTTTTGACAAATTAGTCAATATATTCGGTTTTGAATCTCAGAATCAATTTTTAGAATTGTATAAACATTAACACTATGAAGATTGTATTATCCTACTGTGTGGACCACTAGTATGATTTTATGGTTCTTATGGTTCTTACTAAAGGATTACATACATCAGGAAGTTTTGAAAGTATTATTTTATGCTAATTTATGCATTAATTAACACAAGTAGTTAAATAATGAGTTTAATTTATATTAAACAATGTTATATATTCTATTATTTAATACTTACTGTTAGTTAATTTATAAATGCTGCATTAAACAACTATATATATTCTATTGTTTAACAATTACTGTTAAATAACTAGTAAACACCATATTAATACACTGTTTAACAATATAGTTTTTTTTAACTATTACGAACTATTTAGAAAATTTATTAACTTTATAAATTGTTTATTACATAATTTTTTTTGATATAAAAAATAATTTGCAAAGTACTATTAAAAACAAAAAAAATCAGAGTTGTGAAGTTTGTAAACATACATCTTATTATAGCTAAAAAATCAATACTTATTTGAGTGTCACCAAAAGAAAACATGCATATTTAAAAATAGATTACTTATAAATTTCATAAGTAATATTTTTTTAAATATGCAGGTTTTTTTTTTGGCGACACTCATTTAGAACACCATCCAACACAATAAAATTTGGCAAACAATTTAAATGTTGAAAATGCAGAAAGATTTTTAAATATTAAAAAAATTGAAACTCCAACCCACAAAAAAAAACAAGACAAACAAAAAACTAATAATGATATAGTAAATACACATAAACAGCTTATCAGCAGCAAAATGAATACAGTTATGAACAACAAAGATCTATTCTTTCTGCATATAAAAATGCTTCACAAAGTATTGATATTGTTAAGAAAGTTGTTGCAATTCGAAGTTCTTGTATTTTTGGTGCCAAAGTTTTCAACTAAAAATTCTTAGAACTAATTTATAAAGGAAGGTTTTAAGAAAAGTTAATTAGTAAAAAAAAACAAATAAAACCAGAAAAAGAAAAAACAAATCATACTTTTCTAGAATTTAGGCCTGTTTAATGAAAAAGCTATCGTCAGAATTTCTTGTAACACAGAAATTATTATAAGCTGCTCCAAAAAAAAACATTTAACAGAAACTAAACTGTCAGCAAGAAATACAACTCGTTAACCTGAATAAGTACTAAAGCCTCAATTATACTGAACGTAGAAAATATAGAGCAGATTTTAACAAAACTAAAATCACAAATTTTATTGATCACTAATCTTGTATATAATTAGTCGATCATATATACAAGTGTATAATTAAATAAAGAGAAATTCTATTTTGACCCGGGTCAAATAATCTTCAAAAAAATTTTAGCATTAGTATGGGCCAGAATTAAATTAATGCTGGCTGGATTTTTATCTTAAAAAACCCTGACTGGTATCAATATAATTAGTGTTCCGCATGGACTGGATCAGACGGATATTTCTAAGAATTCGGATTCGATCCAAAAAACCGAATTGGATCCAAGCTTGGATCCGGATCTGTTTCAATTTCGGATTCTTTCGGATAGCCTTACATTTATGTTTGGAATGTTTTGTAACATTAAGTTTATAGTTACTCTAACGGATCCCAATGTGGATCTGTGCCTGACGAATCTGAAAATTATGGACCCAGATCCGATCTGGTAAACGGATCCGAATCGAATCCGAATCTTCGGATCCATTTTGCGGAACACTAAATATAATTTTGGTCTGCACTAATCCTAAAATTTTCTGAAGATTATTTTGACCTGAGTCAAAATAAATTTCTCTTAAAAAAATTTATATATCTAATTTGCCTAACAAGTATCTAAAATTTTTATTTCTATAAAAATATCTATACTTCTTAATACCATTATTACAAAAAAAAATAAAAAAATAGATATTAATATTTAGATACTTACTTAAATTCTAATAGTATAGCTAACATTTAACCTTAAATTAGATTTTTATTATTATTAAAATACAGAATATCTTTATTGGATTATAATCAGCAAATAATATATTAATATAAAGTATTTATAAAGTAAATATGAAATATAAAAAGAATAATAAGTTGTAAAAATAGATTGTTTAATTTTGTATTATAAACAATCAATGAATATAGTATTAGACTTTCTAGTATAAAACTAAATAAATTTGTGCTAGCATCTATTATTAAAACATATATATATTAACAAAATATTCATTTTGCTTTTTTGCACATTTTATTATATGTACTAATTCAATAATAGATTCTACAGGAACAAAATCAAATATGTCTGAAAGTTTTAATAGTGGACAATCATATTTGTATAAACAGTTGTTGTTCTTAAAATGAAAATCGTACCATTGTACAAGGACAAGGTTAAATTGCATCAGATAATTTTCAATAATAATAGTAACCAACATATAAATCTAAAAGATATATATAATTATATAATATGTAAAAAGCTTTATTAGCATCTTATCTGTAACTAGATGTTTGAACTGGTTTTAATAATTTGGTTTATTACGTGATTTTTGTGATTTTTAGAAATTTATCTAATGAAATTTTAATAAATTCTAAAATATCACAAAATTCATGTGATAAATCCAAATTATTAAAATCAGTTAAAACATCTATTTTTATAAAATAATTTATCTTGCAATAACAAATTCCATTGTCAGTATTGTAATTTCTGCTTTCTTCAGTATCATATTAATTGATATATCACTAAACATCGACTTAATATAAAAGTTACTGCTTGCTCTGATATAATCTTCATTTTCAATTATATTTGTATAACTATACTATTTAATACTAGTGTTGCCTATTACAATATTCTCAGTCAAATTTTCATACAAGTCAAAGAATTTATTTAATGATGAAAAAAAGTGTTCATAAGATAGTAAAGCTTTGAGAGCCAAATCTTTTTTTGCTTTATAAAAAGCAAAAAAATCATCAGCTGTTTCTAATAAAAAAGATCCCAAGAGACCATTCATTGCAATTTTTTTATGATATTGTTTTGCAATCTGGTCAGTTTTTTTGTAGTTAAATAAATATTTTATAGTTAAACTATGAGAAATCTATATTAAAGTATATAAAATTAATAAAAAAGTAAAAAAATTAAACTAATCTATATATTATACTAATCAAAATTGAAAACTTTAATAACTTGAATACATAATCCAAATACCACTCAATATATTATTTTTTAATATTATTATATGTATGTGACTTCATAAAGTTATATAATAATATTAAATAGTATATATATTAAGTAGCATTTGAATTATGCTATTCAAGATATTAAAGTTTTCAATATTGATTAGTAACTAATACTAACTGCTCAAATTATTTGTCCAGTTGTATTCCATTTGTTGCTAGCTCTATATAGTTTTTTTTACATAGTCTTTATGCAGAGTTTTATATGTTTCTGCTATAAACCCATTAATTGCACTATATTCTTTTATTGCCATAATTATATGATAACACCAGTTATATAACTTAGATAGTTTAAGTTTTGAAGGTAAATACTTTATAAAAAGTTTTAAAAACAACTTCACCTAATTTATAATCAAATTCTAGAAATAGATTAAATTATTTATTATATATGAATAATTATATATTTATTAATTAATAAAATAAATACATAGTGCAAATCACTAACTCTTCCTGACGATCACTTGTACCAAACTTCTCTTAAAAACAATTGCTATTTTTCCAAAATTTT